TATTATTATTAATTTAAAATAAATCTGTCCAATATTATAGAATTGAAATTTATTTACTATTAAAAGTGCCTGAAAGGATCATAATAAACATTTAAAATCATTCAAAATATAGGATGTTTAAATTCAAAAAAGGATAATTAAGATCTCTATTTCAAAAAATTAGAAAGAAATAGGAAAAAAAAAGCTTTCATTAATTTAACCAAAAATCTAAATTTATTCGATATGAAACCAATTACGTATTTGTTCTATGAAATTTATAGGATACAATAAACCCAATTATTAGTATAAATATTAATTAATTACTTTTTAAGTACTGAATCAAATAAATATATTTAATTATTTCACATTTTCTTCCATTTTCTAAAATTTCTTATTCTTATACTTTAATATTCATTCCAATTTCCTATTTTGGAATCATCCTTATCTTGTTCTTCCTTCATCTAATTCTTTATACTCTTAAATTGAATTCCACCTACATCAAACTAATATTTATTCTTGCAGGTTATTTTATTAATTATGAAAATCTAAAAATAATTTAAGATGAAAATTAAGGTTTATTAATGCTGTGAAAAACAATAATAATATATATGATAAGTATTTAAATTGTTACAACTCAAATTGAATCATTATTCTTTAAGTATAAATTATCTGTTCTACTTAACTCTTCTATTAAGTTATTCAATATCAAGAATAAATAAGATATAAATTTGAATTAATTAATGATTTATGAATAAACTCTTAGATATGCAAATGATTTATTAAATTATCATATTTTTATACATATTTTCATTGATTATTCATTCATCTAGCACTTTATATTCTGTGTTATAGTTTTAGTATATATGGAATATTCTCAAATAAAATTGACATTAATGTAATGATAAAGATTAAGATAATAAACAATAAAAATTATTTTAAAGTGTCTATATAAAATTAATCTAAAGTGCAATTTATATTTGAATATCCATCTTTTATTGTACATACAATAGATTAATAAAATTCAGAATTTTCCAAATAATAAGAGCCAATAAAAACCAATATTATTAAACCAATAAACAGAAAAAATAAAAATTAAAAAAGGATTAGATTTCTAGAGGATTTAACTAATTTACATCTGCAAAATTTTTATGAAAACAGTTAGTATTCTTCCTTACAACTTTCACAATATACAATATTACAGTTTGGACATTTAACTTGCCTAGATACATCAAAAAAGAAAAGTAGGAGTTAACATTTCTTACATCTTTGATATTATTTTTTCTAGATTAATTTTCTACAATATTTGCATTAGTTAATTATTCTCTTTTAATGAATACATATAAATGTGGAAACAAATATATTATTGCCTTTTTTATTCAAGTGAAATTTTTATTTGCATTTTTCACATTGGATGTAATTTGATTATTCCTCTAATCTAATAAGTTTACTTTGCAAATGAAAATTGAATTCTTCTACTGATGCATAAAGAACAGAAAATTTTCCACAAAATTATAATTTTTCTAACCTTTTTGACTTTCTACACAATTCACAATCAAAAGTTAGATATTTTCCAAGCTACAACCAAATTCGACTCTAAGTTGATCTATCATTAAAATGAATGCACATCTAATAGCTAAATATTTATTAATATTTATGAATTCAAAAATCCATATTTATATTTCTATCATTGGTTCATACCTATTAATAAAGTAAGATTTTGTTTATTTATTATATCCTTAATCTAGGTTTTATGAAATTCTTAAATAATTAAAGAAAAGTGAATATTCCTCATCAATTATATAAATATTATCAAATTCAATTCCAGTAAAACTTTACAAGACTGTTCATTCTTAAAACTTTCAGAATAACCCTTAACCTTTTAGCCTAACTAACTATTTTAGGAGGTCGATCAAATTTGAATAATCAAAAAATAAAAGGATTTTGTGGATAAAATTTATGATTTATAAGTAGTCTCATTTAGTAAAGGTATCATTTATTGAGGAGTATTCTTCTAATTTTAATTTTGAGAAGAAGTAGAAGAACGAAATAAAGAGTTTTGAGTCAGATTGAAAAAATTACTATATATTTATAATTTTAATGTAGTTCTTATTTAAATAACTTTTATATGCTTTTATTCAAATTTTTGTTTAATAGAAATTCGTGAATTATTGTATTTTGGGCTATATAATAATATATGTAATTTTATTTGTTGAATAATATGATGTAACGAAACTTAATCTTTTTATTTTACCCACTTCTTTATTATATTTTATATTCAATCAATTATTTTATTCATTTTCTTCTTATTGTATATAAGGTATCTGCATCTAATGTAAAATTACTTTAAAGTCATCTATTTAAGAATACTTAAACAAGTTAAAAAATTTTAGAATTATTTATATCTTTTGAAAACTTTAATGATCTCGCTAGATTTTCAAATATAGAAAAAACCTTAAGAATGTACAGTGAATTAAGAAAAAGATGGAATATATTGGATTACATGGACTTTCTGCCTAGAAAAATAATAAAAATTTATAATTTCTTACTAAAATCAAAAATGAAATAAAATATACCTAAGATGGATCTGTTATAAGGCTTTAGTAGTTCATAATTATTTTAGAGATTATATTAAAGAAAAGTAGACATAATACGAAACTCTAACCAATTCGGAATAAATAAAATATTTATTTTTATATGGGGAATGCAAAAGGTAGAAACCTTAGTAGATGTTGGTGGCTATTATAGAAGAGATGAAAATTTGATGATTATAATCAATATACTATGATTAAGGATTAAAATAAGGTATATGGAAAGAATTAATACAGAATTATTGGAGGTCTATTAAATTTATTTATTAAATAGTGAAGCCTAGGCGTACGATGCTGGAAAATATAAAAATAATTTGAGAAAAAGGAACATGGAAATACATTTTTCAGGATTAGGAGATGTATTGAAAAATTTAAAGTATTGAATGGAGGGGGAATATACAATTAGCAAGGTTAAAGAAATGGCAAATGGATAGAGTTTGAATTATAAATTTCTTAATATTCATAAATTACACATAATGGTTTATATTAAGATGGTAAGAAAGTTAATTAATGGGATATTTACTATAGAAAAGATGAGGATCAACCATTTGAACTGATGTACTCATATTATGTATAAATTATTTAGAGGGAGCAGATTATATGATGAAGCAGGTAACATGAAGATTGGAAAATGGAACGAAATAAGTTTAAGGCATGATAATATGTCTTAAGTGATGTATTAAGGTGAATATTCTAATTATAGGTAGGTTGCTAAATGGGATATTTTATATCGAAAAGATGAACAGATAGCATATAAACAATTGTATTTCTTTCAATTAAATTGTTTAGAAGAGGTGGATTATATGATGAAGAAGGTTCTAACAAAATTGGATATTAAACTGAATTGAGCGACGAATTTATTTATGAGTCATAAATAGTTTTTTATGATGAATATTAAAACGGGAAAAAAGTTAGTAAATGGATTATTAGAGAAGAAGGAGATTATTTGTAACATTATCTAATTGATAAAAATATTATAGTTGTGGAGAAACATATAATTAAGTAGGTTTAATTAAGGTTGGAAAGTGGATTGAATTGAAAGATGGATTTGATCGATGGTTTCAAGCTATTTACTATGGCGAGTATAAAGATGGTAACTAAGAAGGTATTTTGGATATCTTTTTGGGGAAGCCTCTAAAGCAATAATTTGAATTTAAGTAATTATCATCAAAAAATATTATAGTGGTAGCTGATCATATGATAAAGAGTGTTTAATTAAAATTGGAAGGTGGAAAGAGCTAAGTGAAAGATTCAAGGATAATTCTTAAGTCACGTATTATGGTTATTATAACAGTGGTAAAAAATTTAGAAGATGGGACATCATGTATGAGGAAACCTATTTATAAATAGTACGAAGTAGCCTAATTTTTAGTGGTAGAGGATAATTTGATGAAGATTGATTAAAGATTGGAATATAGATAGGCTTTTCAAATTATTCATAAATCACTTATAATGGTAAGTATTAAAAAGGGAAAAGGATGGTAAAATGGGATATATCAAATGATGAAGTAGGTACAACAAATATTGGTATGTGGATTGAGGAGTGCGATAGTTTTAATGAATATACTTAAGTTACTTATAATGGTGAATATAAAAATTGCAGAAAGGTTGGCAGATGGGATATTTTGTACAGAAAGCAATATTGTTAGAAAAAAAATACCAGTGGTGGTGGATTATATAATCAGGAAGATTCACTTAAGACAAGTCTGTGGATTAAATTGAGCAATTATTTTAGTAAGGAATAGTAGTTTATTAATCATGATGAATTGAAAAAGAGGAAGTAAAAAAGTTAATAGGCAGAAATGGATTAGCTATCAAACAAAATAAGAGATTAAATTCAATAAGATAATAGAACAATTCATCATTATAACAATAATTATCTTAGCTATAAAATTATTCTTAAGTGTTTTTTTTGTTTTAGACCTTAAATAATAAAACATCATCTTTTTTTTGAATACTAGTGAAATGAAGCTAATTATTTTAATATTTATCTGCTTTTTCAAAATTAATCCTAAATTTACTTTTTTGATTATCTCATACATGTTTTAAATTTTNTGAATATTCTAATTATAGGTAGGTTGCTAAATGGGATATTTTATATCGAAAAGATGAACAGATAGCATATAAACAATTGTATTTCTTTCAATTAAATTGTTTAGAAGAGGTGGATTATATGATGAAGAAGGTTCTAACAAAATTGGATATTAAACTGAATTGAGCGACGAATTTATTTATGAGTCATAAATAGTTTTTTATGATGAATATTAAAAAGGGAAAAAAGTTAGTAAATGGATTATTAGAGAAGAAGGAGATTATTTGTAACATTATCTAATTGATAAAAATATTATAGTTGTGGAGAAACATATAATTAAGTAGGTTTAATTAAGGTTGGAAAGTGGATTGAATTGAAAGATGGATTTGATCGATGGTTTCAAGCTATTTACTATGGCGAGTATAAAGATGGTAACTAAGAAGGTATTTTGGATATCTTTTTGGGGAAGCCTCTAAAGCAATAATTTGAATTTAAGTAATTATCATCAAAAAATATTATAGTGGTAGCTGATCATATGATAAAGAGTGTTTAATTAAAATTGGAAGGTGGAAAGAGCTAAGTGAAAGATTCAAGGATAATTCTTAAGTCACGTATTATGGTTATTATAACAGTGGTAAAAAATTTAGAAGATGGGACATCATGTATGAGGAAACCTATTTATAAATAGTACGAAGTAGCCTAATTTTTAGTGGTAGAGGATAATTTGATGAAGATTGATTAAAGATTGGAATATAGATAGGCTTTTCAAATTATTCATAAATCACTTATAATGGTAAGTATTAAAAAGGGAAAAGGATGGTAAAATGGGATATATCAAATGATGAAGTAGGTACAACAAATATTGGTATGTGGATTGAGGAGTGCGATAGTTTTAATGAATATACTTAAGTTACTTATAATGGTGAATATAAAAATTGCAGAAAGGTTGGCAGATGGGATATTTTGTACAGAAAGCAATATTGTTAGAAAAAAAATACCAGTGGTGGTGGATTATATAATCAGGAAGATTCACTTAAGACAAGTCTGTGGATTAAATTGAGCAATTATTTTAGTAAGGAATAGTAGTTTATTAATCATGATGAATTGAAAAAGAGGAAGTAAAAAAGTTAATAGGCAGAAATGGATTAGCTATCAAACAAAATAAGAGATTAAATTCAATAAGATAATAGAACAATTCATCATTATAACAATAATTATCTTAGCTATAAAATTATTCTTAAGTGTTTTTTTTGTTTTAGACCTTAAATAATAAAACATCATCTTTTTTTTGAATACTAGTGAAATGAAGCTAATTATTTTAATATTTATCTGCTTTTTCAAAATTAATCCTAAATTTACTTTTTTGATTATCTCATACATGTTTTAAATTTTGTTAAAAGTTAGTAAATTTAATCATTTGTATCACAATATGTATATTAATAAATATAAATAATATACATATAAACTAATTAAGACTGGCGTTAAAACAAACAAGTTCTAAAAATAAATAAACCTAATTCCTCAAACAGAAAAATAGTACTAATAAAGTATATTCAAATTTATAGGAGGCTATAAAATACTCTTTGAAGACAAAAGTAGTTAAAATTCCAATATAATAAAATACAATATTAGAGAGAATATTTAAATCAAATAAATTAATTGTAAAACAGAAAACTTAATATAAATTATTCTAAAATTGACTCAAAAATCAACAAGTAACAAATAAAATTTACAAATTTTATTTTTATTCTTAAATAATATTTAATTTCACCATCAATTCTTCCTTAAATTAATTTGCGTCCAGGTACCAACCTTTTTACCATTCTTATATTCACCATTTTGAAGCCTTTAATTTGAATTCCTAAACCCCTCATGCAACTCACTCCACATCCCAATCTTAATCCCCTCCCCTTTCTCGTCATACGATCCTCCACCACTTTAATTTTTTTAGTTAATACTCTTACATCTATTAAACTTTCCAATCACTCTTTAAATATATATCCCATCTACCAACTTTTCGGCCGTATTTATATTTTCCAATATAATACACTTGCGAATGATCATTAAATTTATCCCACAATTCAATCTATCTTCCAATCTTAATACTATCACCTCCTTCATCATATTATTACCAACCACTTTTTGTAAAACTCAAAATAATATAATAGTACATCTATTAAAATTGTTCCATACCTTTCTGTCTATACAAAATGTCCCATCTACCTACTTTTTTCCCATTTTTATATTCACCATTATATATGACTTGCTCATATAACCCAAACCCATCTCTTAACTCAATCCATCTTCCAACTTTAATTGAGTCTTTTTCATCATAGGAGCCCCCAGCACTTATCACTAGTTTAATTATAATTTTACATTTTTTTATTGCCCACCCAATTCCAAAAACTCTCCCATATACCCACTTTTTGACCATTTTTATAATCACCCTTATAGGTTAATTTTGAATCATCCGAAAATCCATCACTTATCTCAATCCATCTTCCAATCTTGCTACCATTACCCATTTTATCATATTACCCCCCACCACTAAATATACTAATAAGAATTATTTACATCAATAATAATTGTTCTTTATCGGCCTCCTTATACTAAATATCCCATCTACCAACTTTTTGATCATTTTTATATTCGCCAGTATAAATAATTTTAGAATTTCGACCAAACCCATCACTCAATTCAATCCAACTTCCGAATTTAACTGAGCTTTTTTCATCATATTATCCTCCACCACTGAAGTTTATTGCATTGTAATTATTACAATTTTTCATATTTTGAGTATAAATGATTCCCCTTAAATAAAATATCCCATCTACCAACTTTTTTATCGTTTTTATATTGACCACAATATGTGACTTGAGAATCCCTCCAAAATCCATCACTCAATTCAATCCATCTCCCAATTTTAAACCCATAATTTACTTCATCATATAATCCACCCCCACTAATAATTTGAATAATTTCTTATACATTTTATCACCAACATAAAAAATATCCCATCTTCCTATTTTTTAACCAAATTTATATTAACCGTGCTAGACGACCAGCGATCTATTAAATAAATTATCACATAATTCAATCCATATACCAATCTTAATTGAATCAATATAATCATATTAACCACCACCGCTAAAATTTACTTTTTTATAATAATTTTACATTATTTTAAAGGGTTAATTCATATTCCACCTATATAAAATATTCCACATGCCAATTTTATTTCCATTTTTATATTCACCATTATAAATGACTTAAGATTCATTCATAAACCCATGATTCAACTCATTCCATTGACCATTCTTCAATCCTTATTCATTATACGATCCACCAATACTGAATAATTTAAAATTAAATACATCTTTTCATTATCATAGATGTATATCCATTTCCCAAATTTTCGATCTTGAACGTATTCTCCTATTTCATATACTTAGGCTTGACTTAATATATATATCTTAATGAATATTTACCTCCTATAATTCAGAAATAATTCACCCCATAAGCCTTACTTTAATCCATTCTAATAGTACCCACCAATTAGATAAAGATATTATCCATTCCAAGCAGCTGTCCACTTGCCGATTTTCAGTTAATTTTGATCGTATTTTCCTTACCAATATAGATTTAGTATTTATTCCCTATTTACTAATAGATCAAAATCCTAACTAGCGCCTTAACTTTATTCACTTTAATAACTAAAAATGAATATTTACTTTCTCAAAATGACTCCATCTTATGAGTAATTGATCTCATTATCTTTCGAAATAGTAATCAGAATTTTAGCTTTTACCAGTTTCTCTAGAATTTAATCCAATTAAGCAACTTCATATTTATTGTTTTTTTTTTTTTAATCATTGATTAAAGAAAAAGAAAATAGTTTTAAGTTTCGTAGTTCATCTTATTATAAATAAAATTTATATATTTAAATTTTAGAAAATTATTAGATATTATCATCGAAAAGTATTGCTGTGTCATAAAAAAAATTTTTAGATATTTCATAAAAGGGAATCGCTCTGTAAAATATGCTAAAAAGTTATTATTATAATTAAAAAATTTTAAATATCAAATAGTTAAATTCTTTATTTACATTAAACTTTATAAGAATATGGTTAACAATCAAATTAAAAAAAAACTATTTTTGATACTAATATGATACTTTGCTATAAATTTATAATTAGAATGAATTTATTTATCAGGCATGAATAATGAACTTGTACATTCATGAAAACATTCTTAAGTATGAATATAAATTGTAATTAATTTTCTATATTGAAATAATTAACATTTATTTTCTTTTTAAAAACTAACATTATCTTTTATAAAATCAAATACAAAAAAATATTTTAATAGAATCAAAAAAGGTATTTGAATAATTTAATATGCAAGGTAAGCTTCATTTTTTCTTAATATTGTAATCTAAATTGTTGAGATTTGGATGCAACAAATTATAAATACTATTTAAATAGATTATCATCAAATTAATGAACATAAACTGAGAAGCTTTAGAAGATATTTTAAATACTATTGATAAACTTTAATATTTTGTTGTTAAATTTACATTTACTATTGAATATTGAATTTTTCATAAATAAATTAAATTTTAAGTTTAAATAGACTCTGTTGAGAGCAAAATAAAAATAAAGAAAACTACTATTCTTATATTATTTTTGTTGATGAGAATGAATTGATTATATTAAGTGGTAAACATTCTCTGTTATAATTTAATAGCCTAAATTATCTTGATCATTTGGCATGAAAATATAGACTCTATCAACTTTTATAATAACCACAATAATTATTATCAAAATTTAACAGCGTTTTGTTTGCCAAAGTGAATCTCCTCTAAAATAATGAATAGATTCTTTATTAAGTCTTATCATTTGATACATATTTGGATGTTAATTTTCTTTTTGAGTCCATTTTTTTTTGGAAAAGATTGAAAGTAGGAATAAAAATGATATTGAGATATAGAAATTGTATCCATTCGTGATAATAAAATAATGATTTATTTCTTATTTATTTATTATAATAGGTATACCAATTTTTATAAATAAAAGAGAAGAATAAGCAAAATTAATAATTACTTGGAAGTTTAATTCATAAAAAAGAAAATTGTTAGTAATTAACAAGAAATCCAGATTAAATGAAATCTATATCTTCACTACAATAATAATTATCAATTAGCTAAATTCAGAATTGTTATTCAATAAATTTTAGTAAAGATTGCAATACTTTTGCAGTTGGAGAATAGTAAATAATAAAGGTTTAAAGGTTTACATCAGAGAAGACAAAGTTAATTAATAAATTAGTAGGTAATAGAAAAGAGATTTCAATATTAAGATTTATGTTGAAGTCTAATCATTTAGTTTCTACAAGTTTTAATGGTTCAATTTCTATATGTTCTTAGTACCTGTTAGCAAAACCTTTAAAAAGTTGCAGGTTATTAAATCATTAGAAGGGTATTATATGTTACACAATAAATTCCGATGAAAGTCTTATTATTACTTGTCTATATTAATGTTTGGGTTAAAGAATGAAATGATGGATTTGCAAATAAAAATCACCTGATCATGCTATGGCTTTATATGCAATTAGTATGAATGAAAATTAAAGTAAATTAATCTTTGGAGGTGATGATAAATAAATTTTAATATAAGGGAAAAGCAGTTGTTAATTAATAAGAATGGTGATTATGTAAATTAAATAAAAATAAAATAAATAAAGAACTTGTTGTTGAGTAATCAATCTATTTTGGTCATTGTTTTGTTTTTGGAAAATTATGTTATAATGGCGAATATCTAGCTACTTGGAATTTAAAAACAGGACAAATTTAGATCAGAAAGTATCAAGATAATTGATATTATTTTTACAAAAAATATCAATATTTTTTATTATTCTTCGAGGTCTTAATTTTGAAAATATTATAATCAACGTAATACTTTCAAATTAATTTATTAAGATCTTGTAGTTAACAAATCAAAGCAAGATACAGTTTAATCTTGCAACGACTTTATTTTTAGGCATATTCTTAAAATAAATAAAAAAGTGATATTGAAAATAAAAATGTATGAATACATGCAACAATTCTAATCATTATAAAATCAATTACAATGATTACAAAATAATAATTGATCAAAATTCTATCAGAAGTAATTTAAGGTCTTTATTATTCTCAAAGAATTCAAAAGAATTCTATTTCATTCAAATATTTAAAACAATTCTAAATTTAAGGATCAAATGTGAATCCTAAATGATTGAAGGATAATATGTAAAAAGGCTGCTACACATGAATCATGTTTATATTATCGGATATAGTTGCCTGATGATATTGAGAAACAACTAGCTAACATTTTGAAAGGCAATCTCCTTCCACCTAGTCAAACTCAAGAGACTAGTTTCCTTTTTGGTCTAGAATTTTGCTGTCACTATCCATTAAAATTTACTTACAAAATTAGAGTTTTTTTGGTATGAGGCTTGGGCCATTAAACAAATTTTTTCCCTTGATCCATCTTTGGGATCAACTATAGCTACTTTATCATTCCTAGAGCTAAAAAGTATGATTTAAAGCTACATTCAAAACTTAACTAAAGGGTTAGATTGTTTAAAACAGGTTTTGAAAAAAATAAAAAATTTCAAATATTTAAGAGTATACATTTTTCAAATTATAATAAAACAGAACATAGAAAAAATGTAAGAATTTTATTTTATAGTTAATCAAATTAAAAATTTGATTAAGTTTCTCCCACTTCAATATGTGATTTAATTATGACTTACATTTGTAAAACTTAATTTTGAGATTTTACTCCTTAATGAAAAAAACTACTCTTTTAATAAGATTGAAAGTAGGCTCTAAATTATTACAAAGTCATGGGTATATTTAATTATAATCTCTCGCTTATTTATAATAAGTATTAATAATAAAAAACCACGATATTTTTATCAACTGAATATTTTGAATTCATTTTTTTTTTTGATTATATCATATTAACCGTCTGATCTTTCATCAAAAAATGTGAAAATTGAAAAAATTTAATAATCATTTTTAAGAATGTTCTAAATCTTAATAGGATAGATTATTTATAATTTGTAATTATTTTTAGTGATCATGAATCTGTTACTAAAAATATTTGTATTCAAGTTTATTTAAAACATAAATACTCAAAAATTCAATAAATTAATTATTTTACTCAAATTTAGGTAGTTATTGATTAATATATATTATAATAATTATATTAGTAACAAACGCCCAAATAACAGTAATCTAATTCTAATATTTATAATTTTTAGCCTATAGGATGTTGAATTAAAAAAAGAATAAAAATGTAATGCTTTACTTTTAATACTTAAACACTTTACTTTTTTTAGCGAGGTTCAGTAGAAATTTATTCCTTTAAAAATTGAACATTAACAACATCATCTAATTTACTAAACATAAAGATAAAATAACCACATTAAGTTATTTAAAAAGGAGTTAGGTATATAAACGTTTTAATAATTAATTAATAGATAGAAAATTAGAATTTTTAATTTAAGATTATGCTTTAAAAATAATGGAACATTTATTTTTCAACCTGAATATTATAATTGTTTTTTTTTATATACTCTTAGTAAAAATGGAGAACATTATAATAAAACCAAAAATCTTTCTGATGATGATGATAATCTAGATGATGAATTTTTCCTACCATATATAACAAAAAGCAGAGTTTTGTTTTACTTAAAAATATGACTGACTTGTAATATTAAAAGTTTAAAATATCAAAGTAATATACTAAACTAGATATAGATAAGAAATGGAGTTTAATTTAAATAAAAATATTAAATTTTAAGTTACTTCTTTTCAAAGTTAATCTAAGTCATAAAATGGATGAAATAAATATGATTGAATCAATTTTATAATTATCAAGTAACTTAATATAAAATAATTTCACTATGAAAAACAAGTTAAAATAAAGTTTATTATGATAATCAAACAACTTAAGAAATAGCTGGATTATTATTTTATTTTTCTCATAAACATATTAAAATATATTCTACTATGCTTATTTAATTCATAAGTCTTTAATTTCCAAATTTAAATTTTCAATAATTCTTTAATATTTATTTTTATTTTTATATCCACTATTCAGTTTATTTAAGATCATTAAACTATAAAATGAATATTCATACTTATTTATTTGCCTTTAACTACAATGAGTTCAAGGTTAAGTCTGAATATTCAATGATTTCATTGGAGGTTGAATTTTGGCGTGTTGATAATATGGTTTTTTTATAATAGGTTTAAAAAAATTTCAATGTTTCTAATTGTGTTCGAGTAATAAAATAGCCATACTAAGCCATATTAAATTAAGAAATTTATTTGAAAATTATACCAATGAAAAATTTAGAAAATTCTGCTTTTAAAATATAAAAATGAACAATTAAATCTAATTCATTATTACTTTAGACACTAGAATCCTTAAAGATTTAAATAAATCTGAATATGTATAAATATATTAATTATATAAAAGAATTGAGATTCACACGTATTAGTATATCTTAAAAGATAGATTATAAAATTATAATTTCAATATTTAAATCATACTCGAAAACAGGATTTGGAATTCTAAATAATAATAAGAATAAAATACTAATGAAATTTAATAATTAAGTCTTTTTATTTTTGTGCAAATTATGAATTTGTATAATATGATAATTTAAAAAGTATCCTTTTTTACATAAATAAATAACTCTATAAAATAAATATATAAATTGATATGTATTTATTTAATTTTTTTTTAGTTGATTAACTGTTTTGAGAATTTTTTACAAAATTTTAAATTACTTCTTTTGGTTTCTTATCTAATTACCCCTATTTATTATTTCCTTAAGAACTTTTTTAATCAAAGTCATTAATACCAGAAAAAATTCTTCCATAATTCATTTCTTAAAATTAATAATCTAGAATTAACCACGCAAAACAGACATTAATTGTTTTAAAAAGTATTTTAAGATTGTTATAAGGAGAAAAAAAATAATAATATAATTATCTAACCAAAAAATATATGCATTTGCTAATAGAGATGAAATAAACTAAAATTAATATATAAATTTGAATAAAACTTGTCATTAACAATTAAACATAAAGATTTGAGGTTATAAAGCTTTCATAATATCATAATGATGAAGTTAATTTCTGTAATATTTTTCATGAAACTAATTCAAGTATTTTTAGATGATAAAACATTATTTAGATATCGAAAATTTAAAATTAAAATTTACTAATATTAAATTTGATCTAAGTATTCTAGAGTTAACTATTCTATTGGCATGGTACATTAATCCTTACTTTTAAAAAGTTAACCATAAATTTTACATATTTAATATAAAATTTATAAAAGTGGAAATCAGCAAGTATTTAGAATTTATATCTTAAAACAATGTAAAAAACATGTTTTTTCGAAATAAAGTTGGATGATAAAATACAATCTATATATGTAATAATTTTACAATTGAATTAAATTTGATTCCCTCAATTTATATAAGATTTAAATTCCAATGAATTATATATATCTCAATCTAAGTAATACTTGCTTAGACATAGCCTAACGTAGATATGTTAAATAATAAAAAATTTTATATAAAAGAAGATTCTTTTTAATTCCTTAATAATGATTTATTAGGTTAATAAAAATGGGAAATAAATCATAAAATTCCTGTAAGTAAAATGAAGATAACCTAAATTTAGAGTTCAATAATTCAGGTCTTAAGTACCAGAAGAACTCTTAGTTGATTATTTTGATTATTAGAACCTTAAATTTACAAAAACTAAAATCTAAATCTCACTTACGACTAATAAAGAAATAAAATATATAAGTTCTGAAGGATCTATTTTAAGAATGTAATTTATAATTTCATTAATATGAGTGATTATATTAAAGAGCCTTCAAAAAAATATGATCTGATAACTAATTTAGAATAGATTCAACACCTTAAATGGTAAGGAGAATTTGGGAAAAATGAAAAGAAAATTGGAAGATGGATTGCAATATGGAAGGGCTAAACTTTAGAGGCTGTTAACAGATGGTACTCTGAAGATGGATTATAGTCAGGGCTGTAGACTGAACTAATTAATAATTATTGGAGGTAAATTAATTATAAAAATTTCAAAGTAAAGCAGACATTTATGTTTATGGAGAATATTATAATCACTAAAAATAGGGTGTTTGGAAATTTATAATTTAGGATAACATGATGTATGAATGAAATTTTACTTAGTGTTGGGGGTTTGTATAAATAAGGTTAAAAAGTTGGAAAATGGATAGATTTAAATGACAGCGTCTAGAAGTATTGATTATTATTAATTTATTAGTTAGAATTAAATCGTTTATAATGGTGAATATAAAAATGGTAATAAGATTGGTTTATGGAATATTTTATATAAAAGTAAAGACTCTAATTACAAAATCATGTAAAATACATTTATTTATTTAGTGGCGGAGGATAATATGATGAGAATGGCTAAAAAAATGGTAGATGGATAGATTTAAATAATGTGTTCTG